TCCCTCCCTCCCTTCCTGACCGACTTCCTCCCTCCCTCCCTTCCTGACCGACTCCCTCCCTCCCTCCCTCCCTGACCGACTCCCTCCCTTCCTGGCCGACTCCCTCCCTACCTGACCGACCCCCCTTCCTTCCTGACCGACTCCCTCCCTCCCTGACCGACTCCCTCCCTTCCTGACCGACTCCCTCCCTCCCTGACCGACTCCCTCCCTCCCTGACCGACTCCCTCCCTTCCTGACCGACTCCCTTCCTGACCGACTCCCTCCCTTCCTGACCGACTCCCTCCCTCCCTGACCGACTCCCTCCCTCCCTGACCGACTCCCTCCCTCCCTGACCGACTTCCTCCCTCCCTGACTGACTCCCTCCCTCCCTGACCGACTCCCACCCTTCCTGACCGACTCCCTCCCTCCCTGACCGACTCCCACCCTTCCTGACCGACTCCCTCCCTCCCTGACCGACTCCCTCCCTCCCTGACTGACTCCCTCCCTCCCTGACCGACTCCCTCCCTCCCTGACCGACTCCCTCCCTCCCTGACCGACCCCCTTCCTTCCTGACCGACTCCCTCCCTCCCTGGCCGACTCCCTCCCTCCCTGGCCGACTCCCTCCCTACCTGACCGACCCCCTTCCTTCCTGACCGACTCCCTCCCTCCCTGGCCGACTCCCTCCCTCCCTGGCCGACTCCCTCCCTCCCTGACCGACTCCCTCCCTCCCTGACCGACTCCCTCCCTTCCTGACCGACTCCCTCCCTTCCTGACCGACTCCCCTCCCTGACCGACTCCCTCCCTTCCTGACCGACTCCCTCCCTGACCGACTCCCTCCCTTCCTGACCGACTCCCCTCCCTGACCAACTCCCTCCCTTCCTGGCCTACTCCCTCCCCTCCATGACTTACTCCTTCCCTTCCTGACTGACTCCCTCCCTTTCTGACCGTTATCCCCCAGGTGGTCCCTCCCAACGTTCCCCTCTCTCCCGACACCACCCACCCGCCCCACCCCCTCTTGTACCATGCTCCTCAGGTGCCTCAAGCCACAGCCATGCAGGATTAATACGGTACGGCTCGCCACCTGGCTTTCATATCCGGCCAAACACCCGCTTTTCCAGCTCCCATGGACATTTTGGCCAGATAAAGAGATAATTTTATCTGGGCCACGATTTTAGCCGGATAAGGGCGTTTTCCGGATGGTCGGATTCTGGATAATCGCGTGTCTACAGTACTTCGTTGGTTTGACTTACTCTTCTGTTCTTCTGTGCTTTGTGTCTGGTTTTTTTTACGCGGGTGAATCGCCATTTGTATGGTGATCAGGTGGCTTCATTGATGGTGTCCCACCAGCAGTCTTCCTCTCAGTGACAGTATGAAGTCTGTCATCTTTGGTCTCCTGCTGGTCTTTCGTCTCATGCTGGTCTTTAGTCTTCTGGTGGTCTTTACGGGATTTCCTCTCCCTTCGTAGGATTTTGTCAGTGTCTGTTCTAGTTGTTTTGTCCTTTCTTTTTGGCTCTTTCAGGACCGGCGTCTAATGACGAATACTGTCGTTTCTTATTGTGCAGCGCTGACAGAGCCGCTCCAGCTTGCTTTCAGGATGGATGTCATTTCTGCTCCATACTGCAAACTCTCCCGTGGAATTTTTCCCTTCCGGCCTACTCATGCATCGCCTGAGCCTTCTTGGTCTTTAGACCGGGTGCTCTCATTTCTTTCTTCTTATCGGTTTGTGGTGGCTCCTTCAGTCCAGGATTGTTTTCTCAAGACTTTGTTTTTGTTGGCTTTAGCCTCTGCGTGTCAGGTGGGGGGGAGCTTCATGCTCTTCTCTGGTGCAGGAGTTTCTGCTTATTTTGGCCCTGGGAGTCGTTTTGTTCGCTTACAGCCCTCTCCTTCTTTTCTAGCGAAGAGTGAGACGGGTGCTTTCCAGAGGGGTCCCTGTTGATGCTTGCCTGGTTAGGCCGGAGGTGCATCATGTGTTGTGTTTGGTTGCGGCTTTATGTCGCTACCTGCGAGCCACTGGTTCAGCAACAGTAAACGCACTTTGGGAAGACCCAGTTTTCCTGGTTCCCTGTTCCAGGGCTCATGTCTCTCAGGTTTTCTGCAGAGCTATCAAGTCTAGCCAGCGTACCCATGAAGTGCGGAAGTATGCAGCTCTTGCTGCCATTTTTGGTAATATGTCTTGGGTCAATATACGGGCACGGGGATTTTGGAAATCGAACAGGAACCTGGCCGCCAGATATCTTGTTAACATCCCGGGTTCTCTGCGGCCTTGTGTTGCCTTGGGACATCTGTCACGGCTAGTTGTCTCGTCTTTGTTGCGAGACCTGTGGTGCTGCTGCCTCCCGAGTAAGTCCCTGTTTTTACTTATCTGTGGGTATATAGCTTCAGGGAGTTGACGGGGCTCCCCTCAGAAAACAGCGTTGAATGTAATGAAACGCCATTTTTTGGGTGTGCCCCGGAGGCTCCCTGACACCCTTCTTCCCTCTGGTCGGTGATTTTTCATCATTCTCCATTTCGGAGGTGGTGCAGGCTGCTCACCTGAGTGGAGTCCCCACTTCCCCCTTTTGGAGGAGGATGATGCGCTAATGAGCGAGCGCGCTAGTTGGATGATGTGTTGCTTGTTTCACTATTTTCTATTGGGGTAGTTCTGGGCCTCTGTTCAGACATAGGGTGCAATTTTAACCAGTTGGAGGTTTGTAATGGTTAACCTACCTTTCTGGGTGCCTTTCCCGGTCGATTGCAGAAATTACAAACTCTAAATGTAGAGAGCTCATATGGTCATTGCTTCCTCTGCCTCTTTGAAGGGGGGCTAGGTTCTGGGTCGTGGCCCCTGGTAGGTACTCGAACTCCAAGGACTGATGACACCAAACTAATATGGCACATGTCAGTTTGATAACTTCAGGGAGCCTCTGGGGCTCAACCACAAAATGGCGTTTCATTACATTCAACGCTGGTTTTCTGCAGGTCAGGCGAGTGAGATTCTAGCTGGTTCAACTTCCTTCTTCGCAGTACGCATCTTGTCTTTCTGATGCGTGTGTCACCCTTTATTTGGTGATCAGGTGGGTGATTTGTTGGTGTCCCACCTGCGGTCTTCTCGGTGACAGTATGCTGTTCTTGATGGGTTTTTACACCATTTTTTTTCTCTTCGTAGGGTTTCGTCTGGGTCTGATAAGGTTGTTTTGTCTTTTTTCCTCTTGGGTTTTTCTGGCCTGGTATTTTTTGCTGTGTACTGTCACTTCTTCTCGTAATTACCTAAGTGTAATTACCTAAGTGTAGTTACAGGATGAGAGCTACGCTCGTGGTGTCCCGTCTTCCCAGCACTCTTTGTCATATAACGCTTTGAAACTACTGACGGTCTTGGCCTCCACCACCTTCTCACTTAACTTGTTCCAACCGTCTACCACTCTATTTGCGAAGGTGAATTTTCTTATATTTCTTCGGCATCTGTGTTTAGCTAGTTTAAATCTATGACCTCTTGTTCTTGAAGTGCCAGGTCTCAGGAAATCCTCCCTGTCGATTTTATCAATCCCTTTTACTATTTTGTATGTAGTGATCATATCACCTCTTTTTCTTCTGTCTTCTAGTTTTGGCATGTTCAATGCTTCCAACCTCTCCTCGTAGCTCTTGCCCTTCAGTTCTGGGAGCCACTTCATAGCATGTCTTTGCACCTTTTCCAGTTTGTTGATGTGCTTCTTAAGATATGGGCACCACACAACAACTGCATATTCTAGCTTTGGCCTAACAAAAGTCATGAACAATTTCTTTAGTATATCGCCATCCATGTATTTAAATGCAATTCTGAAGTTAGAAAGCATCGCATAGGCTCCTTGCACAATATTCTTTATGTGGTCCTCAGGTGATAGTTTTCTATCTAGAACCACCCCTAGATCTCTTTCTTTATCAGAATTCTTTAAAGATTTCTCACATAATATATAGGTTGTGTGGGGTCTATGTTCTCCTATTCCACATTCCATAACATGACATTTATTAACATTAAATTCCATTTGCCAGGTGGTGCTCCATATACTTATTTTGTCCTCCCTGTCGTGCAACGTTGGTGGAGCTGCTGCTGCTGCTTGCATTCGGGGGTGGATGTCACTTCTGCCCTGTTCTGCAAGCTTTCTTGTGCGTTTTTTCACCTGCAGCCTGCTCATGCACTGCTCAAGCCTTTTCGGTTCTTGGACTGGGGTCTTTCCTTTCTTTCTTCACTTCAGTTTTTGTAGTGGCCCCTTCAGTTCATGATTGTTTTGGTATGCGTTTTTTTTCTTTTGGTCCAAGTGGTCATTTTATTTTTTTTGTTTCCTAATTTTCTGTCGAAGACTGAGTCGGCGGGCTTCTGGAGGGGTTCGTTGGTCATGGATGCTTGGTTGGTTTGGCCAGGGGTGCATTACGTGTGGTGTCTGGTAGCTGCTTTGCTCTATGGACCCCTGGTTCTGTGTCCGTGGCTGTGCTCTAAGTTCTCTCATTCTTTGATTGCCTATTCCAGGGCTCTAGTGTCTAGGGTCATCTGCAGTGTCCTTTTGGTTTAGCCAGCCTGCAGTCTACCCTTGTGCCCATGCCCAGGCCGCTCTTTCAGTTGTCTTTGGGAATGTCTTCGGAAGGTATTCGGACACAGGGGTTTAGGAGGTCAGTCAAGATTCTGGTCGCAAGGTCTCTTGTGAGTGTCCCGAGCCCATCAATTGTTTATTGGATTGACAAATATCAATAGATGATCAATTTGATGATGAAGACTTACTGATAGATATGCTAATGACAGTAAATTAATGATGGAGTGGAGATGATTAGTAAGCTGAATAAATCTTGGATTAATTTCATCTGAATTTGAGGTAAATCATTTTTGAATCAGTTAGTTATTACTTATTTCTCCATCCACAATTTTCAACAACTTGTTTGTCAAGATCATTCACCTCCCTCACTCACTCATCTTTTCTTTTACCATCTCAAAAATATTGTTCTCTTTTATATTAAATATTAACATGAAGCCTTTATATTTAAGCTCAAATAAAGTAGTTACACATTCATCTTACTTTGACAGGAGTGGCATCCATTTTAATTTTGCCCCAAGACACAGCCTCATCAGGTCGAGCACCACTGTCACTGCCATCCCACTCACTCGCTGTGTTCAGGAACACAGAGAAGTTGGCTCCATTCCTCTGTAGGTTGTAAATATGGATGTTACTAATACCATTACAGTATCAAATAGACATTTTAGCCAAGATATATTGTTAAAGATATAACAGAGTATTATACTTTAGTGAAAAAAGCAACAATGAATCATAATCTAACATATCACTTGTAACAGCTTTATGGGAAAAAATAAGTCACCCATAAAATTAACACTAAATTTTAATAAATTTAGAATTAAATGCAAAGAAATGCCTCTTTTCTGGTGGCCACTCAACATGATGAACCAGATGGTGTAACATCTGGTTCATGATGTTACGACCTAGAAGCAGCCAAGCCTTGGAAAACACACTGGGATTCTAGGACCCACCAATACCTACTTGAGACCACCACAGAGAGGTAATGCCAAAAAATCAAACAAGCAATATATAACACACCTGAAATGAAGGAGGACAGAACACACCCAACCCTTCAAGAAATAATTAAGCAAAATGGAGACCAAAAGTTCCCAGCACTGTACGAACACCCCAAAGTCAAGCTTAACATCCAAAACAGGGCAAGATACAAGTGGAGACTAAGTGGAGCTTGGGGATATATATATTAGATTGTTAGGCGAGTCTAACTTTTGGGGATTTAGTAACATCTCTGCAAGTCTTGTTTCAATAGTGTGTATAAATTACAACCACACTCCCAATATACCTTGTACCTTTAAATTTAAGACTAGAAATAAATATCTCCATGATTTTAGAAACTATTATTTGCCAAAGACCTTTCCAATATTGAGGTCTCTAGCTTGCTGTATGAAATGTAACTTCTGTATAATGTATGTTCTGGGACCACTGGGTATAACACTGAGTTTTACCACCCTCTGAGGAGCCTTCCTAATGTACCTAGCAATCTTTATATTTACTCTACCCTCCTTTATGAGGTAAGGATGAGTAGAAAAAAGCAAGTGCCCTTACAAAACCGGCTTTGATAAAAGGGTTTGGGATCCACAGCCGACGGAATGTTGAAAACATCCCTCAAAATCAAGTTATGTACAGGTAAGACTTGTGTACTCATGCTGTGGCGTCTGGAGTCGAGTCTCAACAAGTACTGTAAACTGTCAGGAATTGAGTCAAGTCGTAGACCATTCTACGACAGCATGATACGTGAACAGTCCCTAAGCGTGTGTGAACCTGCACTCCATGCCAGGCTCAATGAACAAGTTATTGAGTCCAACAGGAAGATGGCAAAGAAAGCAGACCTATAAGCTGAAGCATGGAAGCACTCATAGGAGTCAGAGCCAGCCAGCAAGCAAGCACACTTGTAATGTGAAGAGCGGTGGTGCTAGATTTAAGTCTACGAGGGAAGAGCTCACCAAGTTGAAGTGTTTCAACTTTGGGAAACTCAGTCATCGTGCAGTCAAGTGCAAGAGTTCAACACCAAAGAAACCACTGAAGACAACAAGTCTTTAGGTGGGAAGAGGCACAGTCAATGGGGAAATGGATTAAGATCTTCAGAGATCCAGGAGCAACAATCAGCATGGTGCCTGACAGTTGGGTGCAACCCGTTCTCGCAAATTCGTAAAGTCAATATTGACTTATTAACTACGTGCATAGGTGATATACTAAACATAATAGATACCCCTAAAAAGATTCATAGAAAACACCGACCTTACCTAACCTTGTTAGTATCTTAAGATAAGCATCTTATTGCTTCGTAATTACAATTATTACTTAACCTATACCTATTATAGGTTAGGTAATAATTGTAATTACGAAGCAATAAGATGCTTATCTTAAGATACTAACAAGGTTAGATAAGGTCGGTGTTTTCTATGAATCTTTTTAAGGGTATCTATTATGTTAAGTATGTCACCTATGCACATATTTAATAAGTCAATATTGACTTATTAAATTTGCGAGAACGGGTTGTTGGGTGGACAACGCTTCACATTCGTAGTCCTGAGGTTCGACTCAGGAGTACGAGTTTGTTGATAGACGTATGGCCGACCTAGCGCGTGGTGGCACAGCGATTCCTCCTCAGTTTATCAGTGTCTCCTGCCTAGTGACTATCGCACAAGAATTCTTTGCAAGGACTTAGTGTTTTTTTTATTATTGGCTATTGAACATAATTTTTTTTATTATATATCTCACCATGGGTCAAAAGAAAACCAGTGGTATGTTTCAAGGCAAGAAAACACAATTAAGAATGACCATAGAGAAAAAACAAGAGATCATTCATAAACATGAAAATGGTACACGTGTTGTTGTACATTAGCTAGGCAGAACAACAAATCCATGTCAACGATATGCACTGTACTTGCTAAAAAAAACAAGCGTTGAATGTAATGAAACGCCATTTTCTGGGTGAGTCCCGGAGGCTCCACGGAGCTATCCCAGGCTGATATGCTAATGTCAGACTTTGGCATCAGTCATGTGTATGGAATTCTTAGGTCTACCGGGGACCATGGCCAGAACCGGGCCCCCTCAGAGAGGCAAGGGGAGCAATGGCATATAGAAGCCCCTGTGTGGTTGGAAGCATTCTATGTCTGCCATCAACCGGAACAGGCATCCAGAAAGGTAAGCGCCTCAAAACAAACCCCTATTCTGGTTAAAATTGCTACCAAAAACCGAACTAGTGGATAGAACTCCCCAACCGAAAACAAGCAAACTAGTGTGACGTCACACACCGCCGCGCCGCTGTCTGCGCAGCTCCCCCCTCCCCGGGAGGGGGAAGGGGGAGCCCCAGACCCCCCGCGCCGGCTACCCACACCTCAGTTCTTGAGGCTGGATGTCAAAAACGCGAAAAACCGCCGACCGGAGGGAGGGAGGGAGGGATGCCGGGGAGCCTCCGGGACTCGCCCAGAAAATGGCGTTTCATTACATTCAACGCTGGTTTTCTGGGGGGAACCCCGTCGGCTCCCCGGAGCTAACTACCCACAGACAGAAAAAAGAGGGACTTACCCGGGAGGCGGTCGTCGCTCACTCCTCAACTTGAAGCCGAGACAACTGGCTGCAACCGCCGACCCAAAGCAACACAGGCCCGACGAGGCCCAGGGACATTCACAAGGCAGCCAGGACCCTGTTCGACCGCCAAAATCCCCGCGTCCGAATATCAGACCAAGACATATTCCCCAAGACGGCAGCAAGAGCCGCGAACTTACGAAGGTCATGGGCACGGGGATAGACCGCAGGCTGGCTGGACTTAATAACCCTGCGGACGACCTGAGAGACCCGAACCCGCGAACAGGGAAGAAGGGAAACCGGATCAACCCACAGCGTGTCCCCGGACACAGAAGCTGTGGCGCGCAAATGATGGCGAAGCGCCACAACCGGACACAAAACATGATGCACCCCCGGCCTGACCAACCAAGCATCAACCACCCATGGACCCCTCTGGAACGCAGCAGTCTCATTCTTCGCCAGAAAAGAAGGAGACGGCTGCAAACGAACAAAACAATCACCACGACCAAAAGAGCAGAAACCCCTGCGCCGGAGGAGAGCATGAAGCTCCCCTACCCGACCCCCAGAGGCAAAAGTCAACAAGAAAAGTGCCTTGGAAAAACAATCCTGGACCGAAGGGGCCACAACGAAACGAGGAGACGAAAGGAAAGCGAGCACTCTGTCCAAAGACCAGGATGGCTCAGGCGACGCATGAGCAGGCCGGAGGTGAAACAATGCACGAGACAGCTTGCGAAACTGCGCAGATGTAACATCGATACCGAAAGCAAGCTGAAGCGGCTCCGCCAGCGCCGCACGATACGAAGCGACAGTGTTAGGCATAAGATGACGGTCCTGAAACAACCACGAGAGGAAGGACAAGACCACCCGAACAGACAAGGAACTAACACGACGAAGACGCAAAAAGAAACGGAAGGACCGCCAGGAAACTTCATACTGCCGCCGAGAAGAAGCCCTCAGGTGGGACACCAACAAGGAGGCCACCTGATCACCATAGAGATGATGATAGACTCGAGTCAAAAAAACCATACGCGAAGACTCGAGGAGAAGATCGAACCAGCCACGTGACGTACCGGCCCGATCTGCTGAAAGAGGCGGAGCCGCGGGAAAACCCTCGGGTTCGGACACCGAGCAACCAGCGCCTGAAACCAAGGCTGGGCCGGCCACCAAGGGGCCAGAAGGACAACTCTCCCCTGGTAAATTTCTAAGCGAGTCAGGACCTGGAGCAACAGCCGAACCGGGGGAAAGAGGTACAGGAACCCCCACCTCGACCAGTCTAGCCGAAAGGCATCGACCCCGACGGCCTCGCGATCGGGGAAGGGCGCCGCATAAACGGGAAGACGCCGCGACCAAGCCGACGCGAAGAGGTCCACTTCAGGGCGCCCGAACGTCTGGCAAAGCCAACGGAAGGACTCGTCGTCGACCGTCCACTCCGTGGAGAGGGGAACGAAGCGAGACAGGGCGTCGGCCAAGACGTTGGACACGCCCCGTACGTGAACCGCCAGGAGAGCCAAACCCCGAGAACTCAGCAGACGAGTCACCCGAAGCGACCAACCCCAAAGAGACAAGGACCGCATCGAACCCCCGTGGTTCAGGCAATGAGCCACCAGAGAGCAGTCCGAATGGAGCCGAATCGTCGATCCGCGGGCCACCCGAATCCTCCCCAGAGCAAACCACACTGCTGCGAATTCCTGCACCGTGCTGTGAGCTCGACGGAAGGACGGATCCTAACGCCCCTGGCGGGCCTGGTGAGCACTGGTCACAAAACCTCAGCCGAGAGACGACGCATCCGTGTACACATCGAGCGAGGGCTCGGGTAGGCGCCAAGGCACTGAACCCCGAAAAACCCGAAGAGGAAGCCGGTGACGCAGCAACCGATGCAAGGCCCCCGGGGGTCGAACTCTGCGATCGCGAGAGAGGCGGAAAGGGGAACCCCGAAGGAACCAGAACAGCCGTCAAAGCCAAACCCGACCCGGCGGGTAGACCACCATCGCGAAGTTCAGGCTCCCGCACAGCCCCTCGAGAAACCACCGGGTGACCCGAGGGCCCTCCAGAAACAGACGAAGGCGGGACCGCAGCCGCAG